TCCAACTTCGAACTAGAAAATTAAAAAAAAAAAATTCTGATCCTTAGGTGCAAATTACTAGAATATAAAAAGAGAAAAAGTAAGTGGTAAAGGTTAAGAACACAATTATAATGACACATTGAATTCTGTTTGTTACTAATCTTCATTACAACCAAAAACCCTAGTCCGATCAAGGATGGTTGAAGTACTTCATAGAAGTCATTCTAGGGTCGTATCATAAACCAAAATCCTATCCAAGGTTAATATGCAATACTAAACCCCTTTAAAACATGGTTCATAACATGTCTTCGAATATATGTAAAGCTAAACCCCTTCAAATCATAGTTCATAATATGTCTTCAAAGAGATCACGTGTCATAATCTGGATCAATTAAAATCAACTTCATAGTTTCAAGCTTTACATATTATTTAAAAATTATTTTGCTAATATAAAAGTTACAGAACATGGCTATTTATTAATGACCAAGTTACTTGACTTTTAAAAGAATATTTTTTTATAATATTCTACTTCATTCAGTTGAAGCTTCTAGTATTATTGCCTTTATAATTCTTGTAATTTCCTGGAATGTGCTGCACTTTGCAACAGAAGCAGCCAAGAAATGTGCAGCTATCAGCTGCTATTTTTGTATTAGAACTCAATTTTGTTTATATTTCTTCCAATGTAACTAAATACTCGCATACATAGCCATATATATGGTGAAGTATAAATTAATTAGGTTATGTTTTATTTTAGGTTTAAATTAGACTTAATGAACTAAATCAAGTATGATTGAGCCCCAAATTTAATAGAGACATAAAATTTTCAGGTTTAATACACCTACCTTACTAAAGTCAAATGAACCTCAAATATGCATGATTATTAAACCAGTAGCAGAAAGGATAACTAAAACCTTTCTCTTTTGTTTCAACCATAACCATAACAGTGACGCCCCTTTCTACCTTGCATACCTCGTTAAGGTGTTGGCCTCCATCAGGTGATGAAAATTTTTCGCTTACTACTATATTTCCTCACAGTTGTCTTATTCTTTCTTCAAAGATTTTGTACATAAAATAGCAAATGTAAGGTAACATTTTTATGGCCATTTGTTGAAACCAAATTCTTAAATTTAGCAGGTGTTGGGTTAAAAAGAGTTGAAATATCAAGAACATCATCCACTATGTATCAAGAGAAAATCAAATACAAATAAACTAGACACCGCTATTTCAAGGTATTTGAAGGCATTAGGAGGTACAATTTGTCTTGATCATTTATATATTGCTCAACTTATCTATTCTCAGTAAAATTTATTCCATGTACCTGTCATTGAAACAATTTCTCCTACGGGTGAGACCATCCATCTCTTATGCTCTCTCTCAAATGAAAACTTTCCTTTTATTCAACCCTTTCATATCGTGTGTCCCCCTCCTCCAGCTCATCGTTAGAAAAGATTTTTTACACAAAAATTCTCACATAAACTCATCCTTAATTATTCTATTGTATTCTAATACTCATTCAAGCCAATCAACTATTACTTTTGCTCACTAATCATATCAATGGCTCTTAATTAGTACCATTATTGGACTTATAGAAGAAGAGAATTTTCATTACTTTTGATCGCTAATTAGTTCAAGAATATGATCGCTATTTATAAATTGAAGTTACGATGACTTTCAGTCTATCGAACATAATTGCTCCACTGTAATACTCAATGCTAAGTGCTTTACTTTAAGAAAATCAAAAGAAAAATTCATGACCATTAACAAAATCAGAGAAGCGGCTCATAATTCCATAATAATGACTAGCAAATATACAACCTATTATATTTTTTAATTATTTATTTCTAACAGCAGACTGCTCCAATCAAAATATAAAACCTATTAAATAGTGTTAAAATCTTCGTACATTGAAAATTTTATCTTTTCTTCAGCGAAAAATGTTATTCTATTGGTTAAATATTCATTAAACCCATTAATCAAAATAAAATAAGAAATGAAAATGTATTGAACCCCTTATATTCTTATGAGTTAATAGAAACCGTAGTCTTCATATAATATTCAAGAGAGACCTTATGTTTTAGTTTTATTTATTTAATAATAATTATCATTATGCTCATTATAACTTGAGTACAAAAGGAAGTTGATTTACCAGTAGTATGAGTCAACAAGAACAAACTGAATATTAGAAAAAGAGAGAAAGCGAGACTGGCACACACAACAGCAACTTATCAGGACATTTTGCCACATTTTACTGTCGAAATTTTGGAAAAAAAAAAAACACGTTTTGTAATGTAGAAAAGACGACAGAAACAGATGAAAAATTTTAAAATGTTAACATTATTAGACAGAAAAATAAAGGATTTCAAGTCGGAACAGGAATTACATGCAAAACAGTTTTTTCCTTCATGAAAATAAGCTTTAAGCAAGCAAATGGTTACCTGAAAGCATTGCAACATAAAGCAAAATAATATCGTGATGCGTCCAATCATATGACTGAGATCATCCTTCAGACACACAATTCTTTACCATTTCAGTTAGACTTTTCTAATGATATTAACTTGTAAAAGAATTATTCTGTTTTAGTCCCAAATGAATCTGGTTGAGTTTTTTACTCGGCAAAGAGTAAAATTATTCCATCAAATTAAACAAAGTTTAGCAGACCAGAACATGTCACCTAAATAGAGTTTAAATTATGCTCATTAATTAGTTTTTTACATTAGAGAAATTAAGAGTGATAACTGTATATGTAACAGACGAAGATTAACATCTTTCTAACAAAAACTAAAATTCTCCAAAATTGTGGAGATAAAAACTCATCAACCAGTTATGTTGTAAACCCTTGTCCCTTGTCTGCTTAAAGCAGAGATTAGACTTGAATGCTTTTTTTTTTTTATGGATTTGGATACCCCTTATACAGTTTAATAGTATATATCTGTTAAAGAAAACAGCTGTAATACTGTATGATCATGAAACTCATTATATAATTTTTTGGCTTTCATTTGCACAAAAAATGCATTACAAAATGTTAATAGAAGCTTTTATTTAGAATAGTTACCATCACCATGATAATTAAAAGGTTTATGAATCATGACTGATGACTTGCAACTACAAGGGAAAAATTGTGTTCAATAATAACATTATAAATGATATGAACACGTATACATTTTTAAGGCAAAAATTGCCAATTTCGATTAAGATTTCTCATTCCTGTATAAAGGAACAGAAGGACATTATTTTGTTTAAATTTGTTAAGGTTTGAAAACGGGTTAAGGGAGAAAATCACCACACCCCACAAGGCTGCATGACTACACAATACATATGGTCAAGCATAACAAAATGTTAATATTCATATTTAAGTTCTTTCCTTTCGCTTTTTTGACACTTTCTTCAAAGTCAGTTTGCTTATAAATTATTTTATGCAATATTTCATTACGCTTTTCATCATACACGCTTAAGCTTATTAAGAAAAATTTTGAACTATACCGGAAATCATATTAGTCGAAAACAAAAAGCACAAACGGTGGTTTCAAGTGCTTCTTCTACAAGGAGAAGCTCCAAGTTCGAATTACAATTTACAGCTAGAAAATCTACTTTGTCTTTCAATGCTAAAGGAAAACTAGTAAAATTCGATATCAATTAAGAGTTATTATATGCTCAAAACACTGTCACTTCAAGGTTTTTGTACATAATGAAAAGCTATACCACTCTCACATTTGACTCTCAGCTACTATCGACAGAACTTGATTCTTAAATAGTTTACACCTTATCTTGAACATTTGCTGTTATGACTATATATAGAGAAGCATAAGATCCAATAACAATAATAAGGAGAATGTTAACCTGTGTTTTCAGATTTTAAAAATAAAAGTAATAAGTTTTATAAATAATATTATTTATTTTTATGATGTAATCTTATCGTTATTTTGAATAATATTTTTATATATTAATTCTTTAATTTAACATAACCTTAATAATCATAGTGACAATAAAAATATAAACAACCTTGGAATGAGGTTAGTGTGTGACCTCTTGTTATACTAAAAGCTATGGTGATCACAATGCACATTATTTCATGGAACATCACAAGCTCCTCGCAGATAGTTACATTTTCCATATTTATTTAGAAACACCATATCACTCTGTTAAAGTTTTACTCAAATTATTCGATGTTAAAGAAAGTATAGAGTCCGACCCTACTTAATAAAATATTTTATTGATCAGGAGATATTACAGGAGGAATCAAATCATCGTAATGTGGTGTTATAAGAATACTTGTGCTCTTTATCTCTCTTTCCATCTCATGAACATTGTATATGTCAGTGTTTAGTACATATGATACATCACTAACCTACATGTACAAGCTCTTTATTATACCCGTTACTGAGGGAACAAGGTACCTTTAATCATCTCACCCTTTCTTAATGTTTGGTTAAAGAAATGGCTATTGTTTAATTAATTATGTATAAATTATTCACTAAGATATGTGTAATCTAATCTTTGATTCGATTCTAACTTGTAAAAAGCCTGCAGCCTATTAGAAGCCATGAAATTACAGACTCTTAATTATATCCCTCCCATTAATGTAAGAATTTGTTTAGTCCTAGACAAGGATAGAAAAGATTGATTAGGTTCACTGCAGATTTAAAACATTGTTGAAATAATCAATTATTCCTATCGATGTCATGAAATATTCAAGTTCCATCAAATCACCAGCACTCAAAAGAGTACTCAACTGCTTAGTTCCTAGTGCACCCAAAAAAAATATTCAAAAAAAAAGTTGATAAAATAAAATTAGAATTGTGTTTTAGTGTTTATGAAAACTACTTGACTATATATATGTATGGTGTAAAAGTAACGACATGTATATTACATACAAGTCTGCATGAAATTTACGAGCTATAATTTCAAGAAACTCTTGGTGTATTAATACTAAAATTAGGGGAAGCTAATGCAATCATACAATTTATGAACAAGAAAAATGGAAAATTAAAGGAAGAGAATGGTGAGATATATAGAACCCGCACCTGGAGCTAGCAAATTCATAAAGCTTCCCTCTTGGAGAGAAGATAATAAGAGCAACCTCAGCATCACACAGAACTGATAGCTCAAAGGCCTTCTTCAGCAACCCATTACGGCGCTTTGAGAATGTTACTTGCCGGCTTGTGGCGTTCTCTATACGCTTCATCTGTGTCTTTCCTCTCACCATCTTTTCTTCTCTCTGCTGAATCAATCATCAGCACCCCAAAAGAGCAAGGAACTTAGAAGCATATTATAAAGGAACTTAGAAGCATGATTTTTTTATCAGAAGAGAATCCTCACCAAGTAGCTAAAAGCTAAACCCAGAAATTAAACCTGCTGATGATAGGGAAGTGAAGAGATTTGCAGCAAATCTGACCTTCCAAGCAATACTTGAAGACACAGAAGGCTTCATATACAGCAAATACAAAAATGCAACAGATTAGAAACACTACAAATCAAAGGACCCACCCATTGAAACCCCCCCAAAGAGAAAAGTTAAACGTGTGAAATATATGAAGGTTACAAACAAACGGGAAGTTAGTGAACAGGCATAAGAAAACAAAATCCAGAGTCCCTATATATATACTGAAAGTGATCTCAGTGGGAAGAAAGAGACCTAATTGTTGAAAGCATGGTCAAGTTGCTACCCAACAAAGGATCTAAACTAAAACCCCCGAAAAGAAATTTTTTTTTTTTTTTTGGTATCTGATTGATCGAAAATTACCAGCAACAAAAGCAACTTCAATTTCAAGTAGTTCCCTTAGTAAGCAAAGGAGAAAGGCCAATTTACCAAAAGAAGAAGATTTACACCGAATTGGAAAAAACAAGGGAAATTCTAATAAACCAAGGGAGGAATAATAAAGGCTTGCGCATAGAAAAGGAAAAGAAGAAAGAGAGAGAATGAGAAAGGTGAGGAATAAAGAGAAAGAAAGGAGGAAGCACCCCAAAAGAGAGAGAACACACACACTGCAGAGAAATAGCAAGAAAAAGAAAGGGTTGCTATATAATTGAGGTAATGTTGAAGAAAGTGTTGGATTTGACCTATCTTTAGCTAAGAGAGGAAGCACAGACACAGACCCAGCTTTCCTTATTCATCCACCTTGTTATCCTCACGAATTCTCTCTATGCCCCACACCATATTAAGAAACAAAAGAATTATTATTATATTAGAAAATTGAAACCTCATCCCTTGCTTGTTTTGGTAAAACAAGATGCCTATTGCCCCAAAAAAGAAATTTCTACAGCAGGCAATGAAAATTATGAAAATGATGCTGCAATTTTTTTCTATAAAAGTACATGTGAAAATAATATTTATTAAAAGGACGACAGGGAAGTCTCAATTGAAGTAGGAACTTTGATTATATAAAATTATATTATCTTTGCCAAATCATCTCTCCCCATTGCAAGGTTTGAATTGCTTTGTTGGTCTTTTTCATTCTTTTTAGGTCCTTTTCGTTTTTATTAACTTTGATTTTTATTATTATTTATCTACTTTTTAAAGAAACTTATTTATTTGGTTATCTAATTAGAATTTTAAAATAATATCAATACTTAATGTTTTAATTGTACTTTAATTTTAGTTTTTTTTTTTAAGTATTGTTAAGAATGTGAAGATATCGGTTAAAGAATTAATAAAAATAAAAATAAAAGGTTAAGATTTCAGTAGAAGTTATCATAAAAATACATTAATATTGTTTTAATAAAAATGTTTTAACTACAATTTTTGAATTAACACTCTTAGAATATTGATTTATTTTTCATTTTAAATATTTAACACATTCGTCATAATTAAAAGATATAATTAATATTTTTATCATCCAACTTATAAGTTTTAGTTTTATCTTTTCACATTTTTTTTATTCATTCATTTTAATCTTCAAACTTTTAAAAACACTTTAAATAATTTTTTAAATATTAATGTTATTAAAACATTATCTTTCTTTACCATTTCAAATTTTCAATTTCAATTTTTTCTCCTACCATTTTTTCTTTCTTGTATATTCTACTTCTTATTCCTTTTTTTTTTCTTTATATTTTTTTCTTCTTCCTCTTCAAAATCTCACGCAACAAAAAGATGATGCTGTTGTCATTCACAGAAAGAGACAACAACATTTCCTGTCAACTCATCACCAATCTCTCTGATTTTAAACTCCTCTTAACTATCTACAAAATCATTATCATCGCTTTGCGGCATCTCCTTTGAGAAGTCTCCAAATTTCATTCCTAACTCATCATCCAACCATTCCAACTCTCCAAGCATTACCTATTGAACTCACCCACGTACGTATTAGAGATCTCACACTTCCATTGCCATCAACAAGGATAAGAAGACCTGGTCTCTCTCTTTAAGTAGTGATGACATTATCCTCCCAATATGTGAAGTTTAAAAGAAGAAAAAGAAAAGAATAAAAAGAAGATGAAAAAGGATAAGATGAAAGAAAAAGTTAAAAATTATAGATATAAATAAGATAATAAATAGCTGTAAAAAAAAAGATAAAATTTTCAAGAGTTAACGTTTTAAAAAAAGACTTATTTAAAGCATTTTCAAAAGTTAAAAGATAAAAATAAAGTTGTAGGAAAAATTAAAACTTACCCAAAATTAAAAGATGCAAATATTAATTTTATCTAATTAAAAAAATATTTTAAATCATATTAGGATGTGGAATAATTTTAACGTAAGTAAATATATTAATTAGGTTTTTCTAAATCTGTCTGTTATATTTTAAAGTAGATAGATAAAAAAAAAGTAACAAATACATAACATTTAAAATAAATTATTTGGTCTAATGAAAATAAATTTAATTTTCATAAATATTTTTATTGTTTTAATAAATTAAAAAAATTATAAATAAATTATATTTTAATATAATACATGTTAAATAAGAGAAAAGATCAAATGACATCAAATATTAAACTTAATAGAATGATACATTCAATAACTTTCACATCAAAAATAAATTTTATTAATCTAACCATTGATTAGTGTAATATTATTGTGAAAAATGTGTATATAAATATCAAATTTTTGTTAATTTTAGTTTTTAAAACCCTAAAAAAAATAAACATAAAAATTGTACTAAAATTATAAATGTATGATAAACATTTTTTAAAACTAAAATATTACTATATTTTTTTCTTAAACCAAGAGATAACGGTTGAGATAAACATTTTTAATAAATTTTTACACAGTTTGAAACACTTTGAAATATGTAATACAATATATTAGCAGTTATTTGTTTATAAAAAAGAGGAAAACGGTACAAATGTTAGAAACACGTCAACTTCGTCCGTACATTAACTTACCAATTAGAACTCGAAAACTCAGCCACTTTGCCCCAAAAAGTCATCATTACCATTATGTGCATTCACGCACCCTTTCTTTTTCGTACACTTTCTTTCTTTAAACACCCTATTTCCCTATTTCTTTTTCCATTTCCTTATATTTTTGCACAATAAATAATCTACACTCAATATCATTAATAAGAGAAAGTTTACTTTCTAATTTTCAGTCTAGTTTTAAAAAAGAATACCAAAAATTATGCTTTACTATGCTTAAAATCAATTTTGCATCGAAATTTGAAGCCATGTTTCTAAATATAAATATAATTAAGGTGATGAGAGAAGGAGGATTAAGATTTTACAATCATGCATTAGGGAAAAGGGAGAGTATTTTGCATTTTCTATTTTTCAAAATATTTTTATTAAAAGGAAAAAATCAAAATTATATATATATATAATAATTTTACACTTATTTTTAACATTTACAAATTCTTAAAGTAATTTTATTATTTTGTAATTATTTATTAAATAAAATTATAAATTTATAAATTTTCTTACATACAACTTTTTTAAATAAAATTATAAACTCTCGTCCTATACATAATTATCCAAATCTCAAATACACATTTCAAGTACCTTCAAAGGAACTATTGAAGTTCCAGTACACCCAAATTAACTAACACTTTTTTTTCTTCAACTTGTAAAAGAATTGATTTTTCTTTAATTACTTCTTTGTTGTTTCTTCTCACCTCTAACCAAAAAGTCATTATTGTGAAATTACCACGTAGATATACCATCAACTATGATAGAAATGTTAAGCAGAATAACACACAATTAACATAGTCTAACACTTCTATTTCTTCAAAAAATTTATATGCAGCTTAAATAAATAAAAACTACTTTAATCCAATACCATGATCAGAAAGAAGGAATGAGAAAGATGCATATCGTTGAAGAAGGTCCTGAAAACGACAATAGAATCAAAACATTAAACGACGCTTATCACAGTTGTCCGCACACTATAATTTTAGAGACGGTTTTATGTTTCTTTTTATTACAATGTTGGTGCTTTTCATCTTCTTTAATGTACTTTAATGAGTTCATTAATGAGTGCTTTCAATGAAAAAATATATATTGTTGTGGAAAGTAATTTTATTGAAGAGCTAGTCCTAACCCACAGGATTTTATTAATACAAACAATAAATAATAATAAATTTTTATTAAAAAATATTTCTTATACTTTTATAATTTTAATATAGTAATACATTTTTTAAAATTATTTATGAATATTTAAAGTCAACTCAAAAAGCTGAGGTTAACAAAATATATTAAAAAAAATAAGAAAAAATTAAATACATGTGTTAGATTGTGAAGCTAAGAATAACATTTTTGACAGAAGGGTTACAAAGCATAAGGAAACAACCAATAAAAAGGTTATAATATAATCCTACTCTAATAAGGTAGCTTGGACTACTTAATTTAGATAGTAATTTTTCTCTGAATATTTAGTATAATTACATATTAAATATTTAAACTTAAAATTATCGATTAATTTGACTACGTAGCAAAGATATAATGAACTATTAATTATTAATGACTAGATATAATCATACAGTTATGATTGATCAACATTGTCACCAAATTACCCTTTAGTTAGGTTTTTTAGAAGAAAAACTAAAAAATAGAGTCAATTCAATTTTGGTTTTATGTTTTCATCATTACTTTAAAAAAAAAATTATTATTTATTTTTAAATAATTTAATTTCTTAAATATATTTTGTGATATTTTGGTTTTTAGTACTTAATTTATGTATTTTAAAAAATTAACACTTAATCTTTAACGTTAATGTAATTAACTAAAAATTTGTTACATTTTTTTGTTCTTGTGTTACACCAGTAAAAAAACTGAAAGTATTCAATTTAGAAAAGTTGAAGACTAAAATCAAAATTTTACAAAAATAAAAAAATTAAAATCATATTTAAGTCTAATTTAATTTATTTCTTAATATTTTACCTGCGTTTAAAAACACTTGCTAGTTGTTTGCTCTACTATACATTGATTTAAACATTCACAAACAAATATCTAACCAACGGTTTATATATATAATCCGATTAAAAAAATATCAAATCTCTAATTAAACACTTTTTAAATATAGTCTTCGACATATAATTTATAAGATTTGTTTATTTTTTAAGTATTTACCTCATAAATTCATATTTTTAAAAAATTATTTTACATTTTTAAAACAATTAACAAATGACAAAAGAAATGTTGAAGAGAATATTCAACAAAGTGTGTTATGTTAGCTCTCAAACCTCTATTTCAACGTAATTAAAAAATATCTCATTTTCAGACAACTTATATTGAAAAATGTGTAAATTTTGTTTGAGGAGTTCCAAAGACATACACTAAGTAATACCATGAATGATCAAAATTTTGTTTGATTCCATGTTCCATTAAAAAAAAAAAAACTTAGCTTTGTTAGGTCAAATATGGTATTGTAAAATTATAATAATGTTGATATTAATTATGTATATCAATTTTTAAATAAATTATGCATTAGTGGATATATCATCAACATTTACTTATTTTTAAAAAGTATATTAAAAATTAAAACAAAGTTGTTTGATAAACATTCAATTAAATTTTAATTTTTATAATTATTTTATAAATTTAATCTATTTAATTTAGAAAA